TGGTATTCCCCCAAAGAGAAAGTGGGTGGACACAGGACAGGAGGCGGAGGAGCGAACCAGTGGCTGGGGTGTCCAACTCTATCAGTTGAAAGAGCGGCCCTAAAGAAAATAAAGGCCCCGACCAGGAGCCGACCACGGAATTCCTCATCAGGACGCCGGGACTGTTTCCGGGCCACCTCTTAACACAAGAGCCACTCCAAGAAGCAGCATTAAGCGTAGGTGTGTGTGTGCTGGTCGCTGTGCTGGTGTGCCTGCTGCTCGTGTGCTGTGTGGTGGTGTCGTGTGGTGTGTTTGTGCTGTGTGTGTGGTTGGAGGCGGGTGGCGTGTGTTTGTGCTGGCTGTGTGTGTGTGTGGCTGCTGGTGCTGGTGGGTGTGATGTGTGAGTGGTGTGTGGTGGTGTGTGCGTGCTGTGTGTGTGCCGGTGCTGGTGTGTGTGTGTGTGTGTGTGTGGTGCAGTTGCTTGTGTGATTCAGTGTCTACGCCTGTTTGTCTGCGTGTTAGTAAATTAATGTGTCTTTGTGCACTGGGCTGAGATAAAGCTCTTCACTGGCTAAGAGAACAAATGGGAGTAAAATGTAAGCACAAGGAAGATCAAAGCCAAATGTGATTAATGAGAATTTTACTCCCTGAATGATAACAATAAAAGCCTCCACGACACACACACACACACACACACACACACACACACACACACACACACACACACACACACACACACACACACACACACACACACACACACACACACACACACACACACAGTATTCTTGTGTACGTAGTTTGTGCTGTGACCAGGCCAGGCCACCTGCGGGGGAATTTGGGGCGGGGTGGCGTTCTGTTAGAAGACAGGAAGAGGGAGAGAGAGGCATGTTGTTGTGAGGCAGTAGAAGGGAAATGGGGTACAATGTGTTAGTCCTTGTTAAAAATCGGATTATTTTCTGCAGCTTGTCGGCATCATGACTCACTGACTATCACTCCCTGAAAAATGTCACAATATTTTACATTTTTGTCAGTAATGAGCAGAGTAACACATTTACTGCTTCATGGAATAATATATTTTTTCAAGCAGTCGTTTCGCATCACGATAAAATACCTCAAATTGACAGGCTCATTAAAAACTGGGGAAAGCAGACCCCCCAAAATTGGCTTTTAACATTTGTACTGCCCATGTTTCTATTTTTTTCTTAGAGACGATCTGGTGCATGACCAGCAGCTCATTTGTGTTTCTGTTTTTGATCTTTTCTCACCACAATGTGATCCTGTTTAGTTTAAAAAGGTGATCAGAAGGAAGTTCTTACCACAGCCATTCCATTTGTATCACAATTACTCTTAATCCTCTTACTCTACTTCAGATTACAGCGACTTTAGTTTGTCTAAGTGGCTTCCACTGTGATGTTATTGAGCAAAACATTTGCCTGTAAAACCTCTTAATCATTTACATGAAAGGTGAGTAAAAGTTGGACGCCAATTGAGGTTATAGGACATAAAAAAGGATGACTATTGCATTGAGTTAATGCCCCCAGGGAATAATAAATGAAGTAAAAATAATGTGTTTTAAATTAGCTATGAGTATTGACTTGCTTGAGGGGGTGAAATAAAACACAACTCCTGTGGTGGGAAACAGGGAAGAAATGACTGCATGCTGCGACGAGAGAACCCAAATGTTGTTCTGAAAGGGAATTCAAGGCAAGAGACAATTGGGAAGAAGCCAGTGATAACATTTTGAAATGATGAGAGAAATGAGGTGGAGTAAGGTTAGATTGGGAGCAAATGGACGGGAGGTCATCAATTGTGGTGACGGTCATTGGCAGATATATGGTTCTAACCACGCTAAGAAGCGTGAGAGGGAGCAGAAGAGCAGCTGGAGGAAGGGAAAGTGATGGAAAGGTGCGAGCAAGTGAAATAAGGGAAATGGGACAGGAGTAGAGTGGTAGAGACAGCGGGCGGGAAAGAGATAATGGGGAAACCAGCTCCAGGAGTAACAGGGGACGAGCGTACATCAAACAGCTTCACCTCAAGTATACCTGTCAGAGAGCTGTCATTGTTAAGGCCGCTCCAGCTGTGCTCTGCACTTTCCCTGATCCCAGGCCTGTCAAATATGCCATGTTAGATCAGAAGGGAGTTCTTCTCTGCCCTACACCTGATCCCAGATCTGTCAAAGCTCTGCCATCCCAGATCACAGGGCCTCAGATCACGTGGTTTGAGCGACTCTTTGAGTGTGGATCCATGCTCTTGATGCTATTTGTTGTGTTTACCTGATTGCCAAATCTGTCAAAGAATCTTTGCTCTTAAGGTAATCTAATATGATTTTCCGGATACAGGAAGTCTGACCTTAAACGCAGCTTAATGGTTTATGGTCCAAGAGGGAGACCCCATAATTTTATGGAACAGGATGATGTTTGGCAGCCATCTTTCTTTCAGTTTTAGGAAGAGGAGTTTTGAGCACGTTGCTTTTTCTGTCACTGACTTTCACCATCACTCACTCTGGCTTCCTCTCCCTGAATCTCTATCCCCACTCCACTCTCTCTCGCCAACATTTTCCACACAAGCTAAGCGATGGATAGGAAGGTAATCAAATATTCATGGTTTGAAACTCGGATTAGTAATGCTGTGTAAATGAGGCCATTTAAAAGTCTGTTTTATTCATTTTATCTGGGTTAGGCTTGCATACACACATCTTGTGCACGCACACGCACACACACGCACACGCACACACACACACACACACACACACACACACACCACAGACCCAACACCGCATACTGCCAGTGCAAGCTCTCACTCTTCACCATATCGTTGACAGTGCCGCAGCTATTTGAACAGGTATCTAGAGACAGCGTGATGGGTTCTGTGCTCTGTATGCAAATGTGAAAGTTGAAGTGTTTTAGAACAAATGGAAGTGAAGAGGTGGGGGGTTGTAAAGCTGAATGTGCAGAATGGCATCAATTCCACCCAGAGAACGCAGACTCAGGAGAAAAATGTACGGAGCGATCAATGGATGTTATTGGGAGGCCTTCAATCGCTGCTCCGGCTCTATTATTCATGTCTTTCTTCTTCTCAATATACCGTGGCACTCCTTTGATAAATAACCCAGTTTCTTGCCCATTGATTCTCAAGGATGTTGGGCTTTACAACAAAGTCAAGAGTAGGAGGTTTCATTTCTATTTCTCAATGTCAAAACATCCCTGGGAATGTGTGTTCATTTGCAATTCAGCTTATAAAGCACAAAGGGTTGATGACATGAACAGCAAAGCAGTGTGAGCTCCACGTGAGTGCAGGAGCTGCTCCATGTCGGCGCACAAATCCTCCGGCAAAACAATCTCGCCCCCTAATCCTGCTCAGAGTCATGCAGCTCCCATTCAAACAAACCAAATCCATCTGTAATCACACACCTGTAGTTGCATGTTCCTTTCTTATCATAGTTGTTTCTCACCGAGTTTCTCTCTTTAAATATTCCTTTCAGGTCACCATGAGTCTTCCGGCCCTCAGCCCTGCAGCATCGGTGGAGGCTCTTGCCCCGCCATGTGTACCTGCAGCAACAACATCGTGGACTGCAGAGGGAAAGGTCTCACCGCCATCCCAGCCAACCTGCCCGACACCATGGCTGAGATGTAAGCACGATACCTGTTTTCTTTAGCCGTTTTTAGACCTGAAAACAGATGCACAGTTCTATTTGTCCCAATGATAGACACACTAAATTAATCAATTATTTGATTGAAACGTTCTGGCTCCTCATTTACAGTATGTGGCATGGAGAAGAATGTGTGAAACTTTGCTGAAATAATTTGCGACTTTTTAGAAAAAAATCTTTAACTGTGAAGCAGCTGTGGGTACATTATAAAGAGTTGACATTGTCACCAACTCTTAAGTTATAGTTGTTTAGATCTTTTTTTGTTACTAGATCAGTCAGAAACTTTGCAACGTGCAATTACAGCTCCATCAAAGGGAAGTTAAATGGAAGGAAGATTTTGCATCATGTAATACCATCAAAACTATTCACCCTTCCCAATAGGATATGACAATAAAATGGCAGACAAATCTATACTTTTTTTTAACAATGAACATTTACATTATTCAATCATGTAAAGCTCAGTTTTGATCCTTTTTGGGGGGCAGATAACCCTCAGAACTAGACAGCACTTTCATATTAAGGAACTTTAGATTCCAGTGGAACCTGAGCAGCAGAGCTAAATGAATGAGATGCAGGGACATCCACAGCTGCGTTGTTCTGTGAAGCATGGTTCTGCCGGGCAATCTTTTTGCAAGTGTGTGCATTAAAGATGTAAATGGGTTTCCAAATATATATCTCTCCGTCTGTGTAAGCTCATGCCTGGGTTTAACATGGCTGAGAAGATTTAAACATGCATGTTTTATGTACGTATGTTGTTCCAGCTTGCTTTTCTCACTATGCATCACCTGGCAGCGAGGCATCCATCAATTAGCTGTACAGTGTGAGCGACGCACGCAGACTAAAGCAGACTTAAGACTGCTGCTACATGCTCTTATCAGCTCAGATGGCTGTGAACCACATGTGTGCGCTTTCCCTCCGTCAGTTTATCAGTCCTTCAACATCTGTCTGAGCATTAACTGTTTACGCCCCACATGCTATCAGCGTACCATAATTCCCCGGGAATGCACGGCTAGACTTTTCAAGGTAGTGCTTTTACTGCCTTTATCGGGGGGTTTAATGCGCCCGGCAGAAGTCGGCATGAAATAGTACAGCGGTTATAACTTATAAGCTTTATGCACATTGAGGAAAGGGAGGATATAGGGAAGGGCGGCAGTCAGATTGCATGATCTTCCAAGGACCATGTGTGTAGTTCAGAGGACACAGCAAGTTTCTAGGTCTCCTCCTCCCCATGGGGTCTGTTTATAAATACCCAGTTATAAGGGAGTCACAGATCCCATGTTCCCCAACAACCCTGACCCATTTCTAGAGCAGTGGTGTGCTGGATTTCGAAATGTGGACGTATGGTGCACACTTCTGTGTGTTCTTGTCTGATTAAATGACCACCCAAAAACACTGGGGTATTTCAGACCATTTCAAGTCTTCGCACACGCTGCGTATTGACTTTTGAGATGTAAATAATTCAACTTCACCATTGCCTCTCAGTTTGTGCCATGTTTTAAGGTTTGTAGACTTCCTTGGCGTGCCCTCCAGTTGTAAAGTGGAGTATCTCGTGGAGACTGATGTGATCTATGAGCCCAATAACCAGGGAGCAGCAGTAATGGGAGAACAGGGAGATGGCTGAAAGATAGCTCCAGCATGCACAGGTTTTATAGACAGTAGATTCTCTCGGCACAGCAGATGAGTAAAGACATTTTAAATGTCTCCATGCCCTTCAGATCTAATTGGTGCCTAACCACGTCCTGCTAATAAACTCTACTATGTTCTGATTCATGGTTTACAAGACCAGGGAAACACTGGCTTTGAACATGCACATTCCTTCTGTCCTGCCCATCAGCGCATTACCGTACAGGTTGTATTCCCACATCACTTTTCCTTCACTATTTCTCCTCCTCTCTTGATTTCTTTTCCTCCTCCACATTTCTCTCCGTCTTTCCCTGCTTGCCAAAGCACCACAGGCAGGTTTGAGGAGGCAGATCAGCAGTGAAGGAATAAAGGCATGAGGCGGGGACTCCGCTCAGTAATTTGGTGCAGCAGGTTGGATCTGTGCTTGAAGTTCATTATAAAATCAGTTTCAATTACAGCAAGGCGGGCTGCTGGGTATCAAGGCCAGCCTAATGCCTTGTTAATGAGGCACTAGGAAACTCACATACACACACAAACACACACATGCTGCTCTCATTACGTAAAAATCGGAGAACGGCAACCTCCATGCCCTGGTCTCCCCTAATGAATGCCAGTGTTGTGTTTATGGCTGTGGGGATGTGAGCTGGTTTCTGTACTCCTCTCTTGTGAGACCAGGCCCAGTTAGCCTAAACACTACCACAACAGATTATTATGCACCATAGTCTGCAATGACTGAACTCTGCCATAAAAATGCACCCCCCCTCTCCCCACTCCTTTCATCCACTGCTGCGGTCCTGCCATCCATTTCTGACTCACGCACGCATTGGGTGAATACCCAAAGGCGTAATGTGTTTCCCCTTAATGAAAACCATGCTCAGACCCTAATGAAAAGGATGAGGAGCATTGATTGGGCTGACACAAACACCAGCTCAGAGACACACACAGACACACAAACAAATGTCCTGCCTGACAAATGGGATAGGAATCATTGATTGTCCGTCTGAAGGCGACTCTGAGAGATTGTTTCTTTTTTCTCTGGTGATTGGACAAAGCAGCTCCTTTGTTGATTGGAGGGATTAAGTCGCTTGCACATATCGATCTGCTAGCAGCCACAACGCTTTGGCTAAAAAGTTGTCAAACAGCATTGTGTGCCCTTGTCTGGCTCGGAGGGTTTTGTTATATGCTGACACACACACACAGCTTGTAGATGCTGAAACACATGCAGACATTATGAAGAGTGCCAGACTGGTTTGAACCGGGCAGACAGACTGGTTGATGAGAGAAGGCGCTAAAGCCACTTGGCCCAGCACTCTGCCGCATGGTGAGGGCAGAGGAACCACAGCGCTGTCACTTAGCTGTAAATCCACAGACACACTGGAACAGGCAGACAAAAACAGACGGAGAGAGCATGCACACCGCAGGAATCTGTGGTCTGGAATCACTGCTATCCTAAGAATGTCAATTACGCTCCTATATCGCTCCATAAATGTAGGCTACTTCTTTGAAGGGTAAAGAGTCCTGATTGAAAAATGTGGAAACTCAAAACTGTTAAGTGGCTGCGGTGAATGTGTAACAAAACATTTACCCCCCATAAACAGACATAAACAGCAGCCAACAGGCATGTAATAAGTCTTTCTCTAGTAGAATAATTAAATTATTTGGAAATGGTCATGAACCAATAAATTACACACTTAAGAGAGTGACGGTTAAAACTATCAACTACATTCAGTTTCCAATAAGTGTTTTAAATATTTCTCATTTTCCCTGTGGTAACAAATAGCGTTTTAATTATCTTTTAGATTCTGTTTTCCTCTGGTCTACCAAATCTCGCATAGGCCCATGCCTCCTGTTCTGCCGCCAGTTCCTCTGCATGGTCCGGACAACCAGACTGGCCCACAGCTGGCTCCCTCCAGGCCCTGCTAAGCCTTGTTAAGGATAGTTTTAAAAGCTGTGAAGTGACCTGCAGATAAACAGCCCTCTGCCAGATTCACCAGGGAATTGCTCTGGGACTGAGCTGGGTCCTAAGTAGCAGCCGGCCAGAAACACACAGACATGCCCACACTAATGGGGTTGAGGGATGTCTGGTTCCCCGGGACCATCTGACACTGATTAGAGTTTGTGACTGTTCTGTTTTAAACGACCAATTGTATGTATGTCTCTGTGTTCATTTCGTTCCTTGACAGTTTTTTTATGGTGGGATTTTGTCCGACATTTTCCTTGTCAACGTTTTGCCTCAGCAGCCCTCTGGCTCACAGGAAAGAGTAAACTAGAAAAGTCATATTTCAACGCAATGCAAAGGTTTCAGCGGACACTTTGCAGACACCCAGAGGATAAAAACAAATTTCACAAGAACAAGTGAGGTCATTATTGATTTCATGATATCATATGAGAACATTAGTGCTGGAAACTGTAAATGTTATACTAAAAAGAAATATGACTTAAGTTGAAGGCCTTAACACCCTCTCACAAATCGAGACGGAGCCTTTTCCCCTCCAGTCCTTTTCCACAGCACTTTAGTATTCAGACTGTTTATTGGTTCTGAGGATGTTATGACTCCAACATGCCTGGACCTATTACAGCTGGGAAATAGATCTCCGTTAATATAATCAGGCCAATCACCAAAGGTCAGAGGTAATGGGAGGATTACTCAACTTTGTTACCATGGAGAAGTCTATTGTTGGTTAACTGATGGTATCTTTTTCTTTTCTCCTCTTCTCCTCTTCTCCTCTTTTCTCCAGACGTCTGGAGCAGAATGGGATTAAGTCTGTTCCTCCCGGAGCCTTCTCTCCCTACAAGAAGCTGCGTAGGATGTAAACAGGGGTGTCCTATTGGGTGATTCCGGACACACGGAAGTGACACAAATCAACACAACACACAGCCACACCACACACACAGCACACACAACAACCACACACACACCAACACACCAACACCACAACAGGTCCACAAAGCGCCACACACACACACACACACACACACCACACACACACACACACACACACACACACACACACCTCTCTTATTTTAGGTTGCTCATTTACTTCCTTGTTCCCCCTACTGCTTTGCTCTCTTTCTGTCTACCTCTCCCTCTCACATTACCTGAATACACCTGACTTGAGGTCAGCTGACCATGGAAACTTCCGTTTTAGTAGCTTACACCACTTCCTCTTCCCTATAAAAGAAGTAAACCCCCTTGGTCCAGTTTATTCATGCGGTAACAGAAAAAAACGTTTCCTGACTCCAAAAAGACCTTTGTCTTTTTACACCGCTTCCTCTCGGTTAGACGTGGCCACACCACAGACATTTGAGTCTGTGACCACACAAACACACACACGGCCACACTCGCAATGACGTAGGGTTTAGCATATTCCTTCGCCAAGTACACCATCCCGTAGGATTTGACCCTGTGCTCACTTCTTTTTACACATACCAACCATAAATGTCCCCTCTCCTCCGTGTGTCGTACCAGCCCTCTCCCTACGAGGTATTGAGGTGTTTATTTAACATATTGTTTATTGTTTGTGTGTTTTACGGGATTTATATTGAAATTCGAAACTGTATTAGTACTGAATGTTATTTGTATAAAAAAGTTCTTATTAATGGCACACCCTGGGCTCCTCTATTGATGTAGATAAATATGACAATTCTGTATGTATCACTTGTAGTTCGTCTCAGACTTGGGTAATCGCCACCTTGTATGACATCCACAGTACTACACCTTACGACAGATTGGTGGTCACACAATACCCCCACAACCTGGTGTCCTCTCCGGGCCGTCACTCCCGTGGTGACGGTCGACTTAGTTGGTCTCCCCTGCCTCCCAGTTGTGTCTGTACACCGGTACGTAACAACAACGATTTACGTCTAAAGTCGTCGTCGTTGTCATCGGTCAAGGTACAGACGAAATGAATCGATTCCGTGACTTGCAAAAACACTCGGTATTTTGGACTGTTTCTTATTTCTATTAAGTTGTTTGCGAATTTCTTCTTGTCGTTTCAACGGCATTTTGACTATATGAATTAAATTCTATACCTCAAATTCTTATTCTAATCGTAAAAGTACGCTAGTATCAAAAACACGGTGTTTGTAATTGAAAATTGTCAAACACAAATATACCTACCACAACAGTTAGACCAATCGACGGTTACCTGGACCAAAAAATATAAGATACTTTTAGGTTTTCCAAACCAGTATCATAAGTCATTCTATCATTCAAATGGAACAACATCGGTCATTGTGTAAAAGTTTTCATTGGATTTGTAAATAAATCAAATTCACAAAAAAAAAGGAAAAGTTCTATCCTGTATCTTTGTACTAAAGTTACTCTTTCGTTCAAAGGAGTCCTCAAGTCGGTAACAGTCGTATATAATGGAGTAACCTGTAGTTTTTGACAGGGACTCAACCTAAATATTTCGTCTCTCCCTTAGGAATTTTCTTCACGTCTCTTTGAGGGCACTGCGAGTCAAAGAGGGACGACGATACAGCCAGTCGGACCACCACAACCTCCGACACCCAAACCGGCTGACCACACAACGACCGAACCAACTGGTCTTGTCGACCACTTTTTTGGTGAGTAGATGGTCGGACTACGACAAGCGAGGGTTCTCTCTCGCTCCGGAGTAAAGGTCGTGTGAGAGGCAGGGGAGTAGTAGGAGGGTCGGCGTCAAAATGTCACACCGGGTGCGTCGTGTTGTGTGTTGTGTCTGACAAACCTGGTTGTGATCGGTCCCCCTTTATGGTCATGCCGTCGTACTTTCATACTCTTGACAATAATACCGAAGTACAACGTAGACTCACGGACGACAAAGGGTACGGTGGGGTTCAGATCTTGTCCTTTATACAAGAGAGCGCGTCTTTTTTGATTTATGAAGTACCGAGAGTTCCTCACCTTTTCTCTCGGTTAACAAGCGGAAGAAAAAGGGCGGGAGTTGAAGAACAAGAGCAGACATTAATTAAAATCGGGACTCACTCAGATT